CTGTGATAGAGTATGCAAACACCGTGTGAGCATCACTAACGGGAGCAGAAAGTGTCCGGCTTGACGGCTCCGTTTTCAACTCCGCCCCCAACTGCAAGCGGCTACTCTCGTTGACTGCCGTCTGTAGCGGTGCTTCAAGTCGAACGCACCTACTGCTTCTGCGTCTCGGAGCACGTGATATATTATAAGGAGTAACGATATGTTTTATGAAATGTAGTGAAGTAAAAAGTACGATCTTATGCTTTGGAATGTAGTGAAGTAAAAGTAAAAGTTACTCAAAATAAAACTATTCTAGTAAAGTACAGATACTTGAAAAATTTACTTAAGTACAGTAACGAAGTAAAGCTACTCCGTTACTGTCCACCACTGCTAATACAGTAGGTCATATGAACACACATATACAGTATATGACTTCTCATGCAGATGATATACACCGTTTAATTTCTCAGAATTAAATGCAGCCAAACAACCAGACAAGTAAACACAGTCTGATTGTGAAATATTCAACATAAAGCATTACTTTGAAGGACCGTAATGCACGGTAAAAACGCGCTGATTTTGCACACAAACCTTTTCTTCCCTCGAGAAGAAACTTCTCATAGCAACCATATCAATCTCCTCGGAGAAAGATAGTTGCAGCAGCGAGCTCTCTCTCAAAGGGGAAAGAAACCGCAGCGCTGGATTCCGAGCCTCGAGAGAACGCTGGATCCAAGGATTGCAGGCAGAGAAAGGGCGCTGTCTCCAACCCATCCGCTAGATCCATGTGCGATACCCCACATTCTCAATCGCTGCCTTGCCTCAGCAGTAGCGGGACCGAACTGCAAGATCGCAAGCACAGACACACTCCTCGGAGGGTGCCCGACAGGAGCGGAGCATTAACAGCGGTGAGAAGCACAATCAGCCCCTCGAGAGCTGACTGTGCGAGCTCCGCTGCCCAGCAAATGCTGCTCATTATAATATTAGACATAATATGCTTGTGCAACTGGTGCTTGTGCAACTTGCGAGCTCATCGACGACCTCCACATCAACCTCCTTGGAGGAAGAAAGATGGAGTGTCGAGCCCGCTCCCCGGGGGGAAGAACCGCATTGCGGGCTTCCGATCCCAGAGAGCGGGCACTGGATCCATATGCGAACCCCACGAGCGCAGCCACCGCTCCACCTCGGTGAAAGCGGGGACAGCACCACGAGGATCACTGGTAAAGGCTCCCTCCTCAAAGAGAGCCTTCCGAAAGGGAAGTATACACAGTAACAAACGACTCTGCATGCTTCACTCCCAAGCAGACAACACACAAACTCACAAAATCCCCACCTGAAATATAGCACAGGCAGGGAGGAACACACAGCCTGAACGCTGCCTGCTCTTGCTCAAATGCTTCTTTTGACTGAAGCTTTGACATAATGGAGCTTATAAGTGGACAAACAACACTAAATAAGACTCACAACAAATAGCGACTGACACACACACAGAACACTTGCTGAATAACAGAAAGCTGACACCGGTTCCACTGCACGTGCTTTTAAGTGTCCTGGTCACCCCGCCCGTGACGTCTCGCCCATCCATTGGACTGATTACACACGTGATTCAGAGCGTGGTCATGCTGAAGGCATTCCCATAGCATTTCGACGCAGCTCGTGTTCCTGAAGGGGAACCAAAACTAGGAACAGTTTGGCTCTGGATGGAACGCTACTATCGTGATGGTGCTTTATGTGGGAGCCCTCTACACCTGTCATGAGGCATCAAAATGTGCAACAAACACAAATATTTGCAAACATTTGAGTTGCTCCTCCCATTTGAGTGGCCCCTCCCCTAACAGATGTAATGTCACTCCAAACTTTTGCTATAACTTGAGAGCCCTGATTCTGTGTGAACTGAGTTAAGGGAAGGAAGTGGGAGAGAATAAACATATGTGAAGGAAGAACATGTGAGAAAGAAGCTTTCGTGCATCTTCTCTTAGTTAAATGTGGAAACAGATGCCTGTATGTTAATACTCTGTGTATTTGTATTGTCTATATCTCAAGAGATCAAAGTGTCTGAGGTTCTTCCAGCCTTACAGCTTGCACAGTTATAAATATGTAATCATTATGTATCTCAACTATTATAATTTGTTTGGGTTTGCAGAGATTTGCAAATTATATATTCCCTAATATAATCGTAGTAACAATATACACAGGCAAAGCAAGTTCTGATGTTTCTCTCAGTGGTGTGGTTTGGTTGTAGACGTACGATGTAGTGGAAGTCACAGCATTATGTGGGTTGTTTCTGTATAGTGGGCCTCATTTTTCTGAGGAAAGGTAGCAAAAAATGAGACTTTAGAGTTACAGCAAGAACTTCTCACATGTTCACGTGTTGCACCAGCTTCTTTAGCTCATCATTGAAGACACGTCTTTATTTGTGCATTGCTATCTTTGGAGCTGCTTGTAGTGAGAAAATGACAGAAGTGTTAAGAGGCCTAATAAAGGAGTTGAGCTGATGGTTGTGGTTTGACTTCTCCTCTGTTTCTGCTCTATGGTTTTAACCAGAGTCGGGGAGATAGTTATTCTAGTGGGAGCTTCTGTCAGTTCTTGTTCTCCATACTGATAGTTAAACAAGTGCCATATGAGGCAAATATCATATATATTCCAAACCTGTAAGCAACTTAAGATATTTTGATGAAATCCGAGTGCTTTCTGACCCTCCATAGACAGCAAGTGTCCTACCATGGTAAAGGCATAGAAACGTAGTAAGGACATCATTAAAATAGTACGGGACATCAGTGGTTCAACTGTAATTTTACAAAGCTACAAGAATACTTTTTGTGTGCAAAGAAAGTAAAAATAATGACTTCACAGTGTGAGAACAATTACTGGGAGACATTCTCTGTCATGCTTCGCTCCCAAGCAGACAACGCACAGACTGTGTGCATCACCGCAGGGAGGAACACACAGCCTGAAATGCTGTCCACTTCCGATCTTATGCTTTGTTTTCTCTGTATCCTTTGCCATGATATTTCTTTTGTTTTTCAGACAAACAACATCAAATAAGACTCACAGAACGAAAATTATACTTGACACAACACATAGGGCTTGCTGAATGACAGAAAGCTGACGCCAGTTCCACCTCACGTGCTTTTATAGCTTCTTAGTCACTGCGTCACCCGCCTGTGACGTCTCGCGCTGTGTGTACATTAATGAGGAAAAAAATTAAGTTAAATGATTTTAGCAAATGGCTGCAATATAACAAAGAGTGAAAAATGTAAGGGGGTCTGAATACTTTCCGTACCCACTGTATATACTCAGACCACATCGTTTTGAGTCCTTTCATGATTCTATTAAGTCCATTTACATTGTGAACACCAAAGAGCATTAAAGTCACTCGCAGCTGGTTCCCTTTGTTCACTTTAACTGAACTGGGTTTGGTTAATTTAAAATACAGTTTATGTGAAAACACTCTTAAGTGTTCAAATTATTTTCATGGCCACTATAATGTCACAATTAACCTGATATAGCACATTTAGTGTTCCCAGTCCAAAATGGCCAGCCTTTTAAAAAAATGCTTCTAAATCTCATGTTATACTACATTAACACCAAATATTGGATTCAATATTTTTGTCAGCTTTTTTTTTTTTTCAATTAGGACAGATTTTTTATTTGTTTTTGGAACTGATTGATCGTAGCGGTCATTAATCTGAGCTTTTGCATCTCAGTTTTCAAAAAAAAAAAAAAAAAAATTCTGAATAATTTTGTCAATTCAATAAAATATGAGAATAATTTGCACTGTTCATCACACTAGTGCGCTTTGGGCTCAGATCAATGATGCCTACAATCAGTTTTTAAAAATACATACAAAGCCTGTCCTAATTAGAAAAAAAGTTGACAAAGGGTGGCGTTGGGAACTCTGTCATCAGGCATCAAAATGTAACACCCTGTGTGAGCAAAGTCAGTAAGTTTTAGTCCAATGTGATAACATTAAAACAGCATGAGGGTTAAGTCGATGTTGTCAGCGTCAAACAGGAAGTGAGGCTCTGTGTTTCTCAAACACTTTGACCTGATGTGGTTTGGAGTCTGTAGTTTGTTCTGTTCCAGTGAAGGATCAGTCATGTAAAACAATGATCACATTAATGTTCATATTTGCTTGTAGTGTGTTTGCGAATGTGCAAGTGTTTTACTACATAAAGTGTGAATGACACACTTTCCATTTGAATTACATATTTGAATATAAATATGTATATATATATATATATATATACATGTACAAAATGGTAATTCAAAGTGCATTACATAAAAAGGAATAAAAAGATTCATAAAAAGAATCACAACAATAAAAGCAAAGAATAAACATTTTAGTACAAAAAGTAAAAGTTGTCTCAACTTTGTCTCAGCAAAGTTGTCTCAACATACAGTAAATCTAAATGAGTCAGCGAGTGATCATTGCAGCCATCTAGTGGCTGTAGTTTAAGTTTTATGTTTTGTTTTATGGCAGCAATCTACCACTAAACCACAGCACATTGTCCATGTCATCTCCATGAATGAAAGTTAGAATTTACATCAAAAGTTTTTAAAAATGTATTATGAAAAAAAATAAAAATAAATGTATGTAAACGTAAATACCAAAAACCCCATCAAAACTGAACAACTGTAGAGTAAAAACATTCACAAAGTGATTGATATTACAGAAGAAGAAGTAGCAGAAGTAGTGGGAAACACCAAACATTCTGAGTGTGCAACCCTAGACCAGGGGTTCTCAAAGTGGAGCACTGGAGGTCTGTGACACAGTCATAATTTGATTACCACAGAGATAGATAGATAGATAGATAGATAGATAGAGATAGATGATGGATGGATGGATGGATGGCATTTCATATGACAATATATTTTTAATAAATTGTTGGTAATGAATAAGTTTTATGATTTCAATAATTAAACATACATTTGATTACAGTAAAAAATTACAGGAAAAAAATTAATGGAAGTTCCAATGGCAACTAAGAGTACTAAACACATTCTTAAACACTTTTATAATTATGAAGGTGTCCTTGGAAAATTCTCTGCCATGTAAGCCTGTAAATAAACAGTGAAGGGTTAAGATCTTGTGCACCAACTACACTTAATGTTGTTTATTCATTATGGTGTTGGTTGTAGGAGGCTGATAACAGACAGCTAGAAGTTAGATGCACGTTTTCCATTTTCTCTGAAAAGTATTACTATCTCTTCAAAATAAATGCTTTATTGAAACCTCTGACTGAAAACAGTCCCACCTACAGGAACTGTACAATTATATTTTAATAACTTTCTCATTTCAAAATCCAGTTGAATTGACAAAACAAGTAAACAAATAAAAACATTATTATAACTTTTATTAATTATAATGTAACAATTTTACTCATAATTACATCACTATCAGCATTAAGTTACATGAGGTCAAATTTTCAGTTCAGAGTCTGTTTTGTTCTGTTCACAGATTCACCTACATCTACACTGACTGTGACTCCAGACAGTCCTGTGTTCACTGGAGAGACAGTCACTCTGAAGTGTGTGATTGAGTCTCACAGTAACTGGAGATATGAGTGGTATAAAGGCACAGACAGTGTAATGTTACAGACGTCTGATTGTTACACTGTAAACAGAGACACTCTCACTATCAGAGAAGCTACTGAGTGTGATCAGGATCAGTACACGTGTAGAGGATGGATGGATGGATGTTCAGTCTCATCACAATCAAGCTCCGTTTCTCTCTCTGTGAAGGGTGAGTTGAATATCATCATCTTCCTAAACTCTATACAACATGAGAATGAGATTCGGACTCCCGAAGTTCATCAGCATAACATAAAACAATGTTAAATTAAAAAGAACAAACAACAACACACATTCACAGTAAGGCTGATGATTGTTTTAGATGATCTGATGTTGAATCACATTAGTTTTTTTTTTGTTTTTTTTTACAATTGCTAAAACACATCTCAATACTAAAGTCACTTTTTCAAAACTCTTCACACAGTTCTCCTAACCATCTTTCAACTTGACATAGCAGTTCATTTCACATTCAAAATGTACTAAAACTAACAAAATTCACTTAATTAATTTCTCAAATCAAGTCATTCTTCCATAACAATAAGGTTTTCACCAAACAAACACTTTATCACTCATAACACAAAAACCTATAAAACACTAAAAACAGCATATTATGGAAAAAAACAGCATAGCATTATACAATGTTTTATTTTGTAAAATTTCTTTACAAAACAAGAATGATACTCTCTACTGTTTATAAATCAGGGATTTGGTCTGTATAACCCTTTGTAGTTCTTTGTTCAATTCGCACCATCAGAATGAACCAAATGAAAAGTTGGCTTCAAACTTTTATTTTCAATTCCTTTGGAACAATTTACAAACGGATAATTGTCTCTCATTTTAATAAAAAATGTTACGAGTTTGAGTTGTGCCCGAATCTTATTTTTGAACTAACATAAAAATGATTAATTATTCTGATTTTCTACTTCTCTGTTTTGCGCTCCCGGTTGGACCGTACGATGTATTTACCCAGAGCGCTGTATGTAGGCTATATCATAATACATCAATCTAAAACACGGCGCTCAAGTTCAAAGAAATTCAGCTTCTAAAAACAAGTCTCTAGACCTTTAAAAAAAGCTCTGACAACAAGTTTCTGTTTGCATCTCCGCGTGTGTGCGCGAGTGCGTGTCTGTAGGCTACTTTGTGTGCGTCTGTGAGAGAGAATGGGAGAAAGAAAGCGTGATTTCCATACATAAAAAAGATTGAAGACATGGAAATTGTTTTTGTAATTTTTACCCTATTGTTTTTTATATTTATTTGCTCAATGTCTTCTGGGGTTTTTGTTTCTTTTACTGTTGTAGATATCCCATAGTATAACAAAAATATTATATATCGCTTCATTGTGTTTGGGCCCCCCTGGACCAGCAAGCATAGGCACGTGCCTAGAATGCCTATGCGCAGGGCCGTAGCTGGGGCCCTTTTCTCCCATTTAATTTCTTGGATTTACATTAAGAACACTGACAGCAGCTAGTAAATTAGGAGCAGTCACTTTAAGAGACAATTCATCCAATATATTGATACACGTTCGATTTCTTTCTCAACTGTTTACTTTCACTTAAGACATAACCTACAATTTTTTCGAGGATACTCACAAAGACAGGTATTGTGACAATGTTGTATGTATTTGTCATTTCAAGAGCAAGAAGAGACAAAACTCAATTTGGTGTTCAAGGACTGTGAGACGCGGCTCTCTGCGTGCACGCTGAGCGCACAGAACAGTGCAGGGGTGCTGAATTAATCTTTTCATGTCTTTTTGTGTATAAACTGGCGAGGTGTATTTGTTCGTTCAGGCACGGGAGGAAGCGAAGAAGATCTTGGTTCGTGTTTGCGCGGCTCTCCGTGTGCGCACCTCAGCGCGGAAACACTCCGTTGAGTTTGAATGCTTTAAACTGTTTTGAATGCTTAAATTGGCAAGACTTAAAACATGTGCAATTGATAAACTTTCATGAAGACGCGCAGGCTGTCTTTTTAAGCTGGCCTCTAGCAGTCGGTTGAAATCGCTGTATAGTCAAGTCAAGTCAAGTCTGCTTTATTGTCAATTCTTCCA